CCTCTATGAGCAATGCTGAAATTACAACACGCATCTTATTCGTCGCCTAAAAAAATATAGTTTCACAAATTTTCAAGTTCCTAACCTACATATTTTCAGAATAATCGCAAAAAAAATGATTTAAAATTTTAACTTTCAACACCCTGTATTTCCGAAACTATCAACTTTCGGATAAGGCATGTCTGCGCCAATGGTCACCATTTCACGTGTAGTATCTTCAGCTTTCGATTTTCCCATTGTTAATGAATCACCCTGTATATTAGGTAATACGATTACAATATCAATTACATAAGGGCATGGATCTATTATACACCAAAAATTATAGTAGAGAATGATTGTTATAAATTATATTGGGATCTGGCCCCAGGCACAAGAACAGTATGAATTGTCTACCATGATCGAGTGAATAATTCCATACAGTGCTTGTGCCTGATGTCTGAATTAATTCAGGATTTCTACTGAACAAGGCTCTAATTTCAGAAACAACATATGGTATGAAATTGGAATTTTGTAATTATTATAAGGTTATAAAGTGCAATGAAAAGAACCTACTAACATTCCGTTCTATTCATCAGTGAGGTGCAGATATCCTCATCTTTGAAAATATTTTCTGTAAATTAAGTTTTTCAAAAAACTAAAATGTGTCCCAGAAAATTAAGAAAATAAAATAAAGTGAAATTTAAATGTGTACATATATTTTAACTGTGGACATAATTCACAATGGAAATGAGCCTATGAATATGAATCTGAAATTCTTTTTTTCAATTAAATAGTCCAGTTATATTAGTTTTTGCATTTTAATTCTTGAATACGCCACCCAAAATTAATTTATCAGTTGTATCATCAGTGTTCCCAGTTAATAAAACATATTGCTTTTGTACGACTTGCCATATTTTTTTTATGTCAATGTAGACATTAAAAAAAACATTTTATTAAAAAAATAACGTTTTTAACATACTTTATTAAATACAGGGTGTCCCGTAAAGTATGTTACAAACTTTAGGTAGTGATAGTACATAAAAAAAATATGACTAAAGACTCTAATAAACATAACCTCTTAAACGCACCATTTTGAAGTTACACACCTTCAAAGGTGCAACTATAAAAGTAGTTTTTATGACGTAACTCTTTCCTGGAAAAAGAAAACTTAATGAAATTTTCAGGGGCTAATCAGCTTTAGGAAATCAATAAATAATGCGGATATGAATAAAATCGAGAAAGCAGAAGGGTGTTTTTTATNCCCAAAATTAATTTATCAGTTGTATCATCAGTGTTCCCAGTTAATAAAACATATTGCTTTTGTACGACTTGCCATATTTTTTTTATGTCAATGTAGACATTAAAAAAAACATTTTATTAAAAAAATAACGTTTTTAATATACTTTATTAAATATAAACTAATTAGTATGTAGTATTAGTATGTAGAGATGTTACTTTGTAATTTGTTTGTATTTTATGTTTTTAAATAATTATTTTTGCTTCTTTAAAAAACGTACACAAAAAATAAATAAAAATGCTAACCTGATTGATGTGAAATATATTTTTTAATTATTTCAAGACTATTACAATTTTCTTAAGCAGTGTATGTATTTAATGTGTGAATTTCAGTGCCAGTGGCCTCTAACATTGACCTAGTTTTGCTGAACTATACTAACTGTTACTATGTAAAGGAAATAGGAAAACTTCAGGAAAATTAAAACAGATATTATAAAAAAGTTATAAACTACTAAACAAAATATGTTATGTTTCTATTCTTTTTTATTATTCAAATTAAATAAAAAGCAACATAATTAAGCTGTGAATGCACAAACATGATGAAAATAGGACCAATAATTCAATCAGTTTAAATTGCCTTTGAAAAGCTGCTACTGTCAGTTGATTTCACACCTGGCATGATATGACGGGATGATAAATAGGTAAAAAATAAACTTCTACATTACGTGGATGAAGCGGGACTGACCGAGTACGGTTCATTTTGCTACATTTTTAGTTTAGTTCAATTTATCGTAGTGTAAATGTATAAACTTATGAAGTTATTTATTTCAGTGTTTAGTGACGCTGTAATATTGTTGAGATTGTAAGAAAACCGCAAATATCTGAGAAAATTGAACTTGCAACCCCCACAAGCGTATATCAGTGAAAAGATAATTTGATTTTCTATAATATGTTGCAAAAAAATACAGGGTGTTCCACTTTAATTTAAAAAGTTTTGTTGATTTTAAGTTTTCAAAATGTAACGCAATAAATGGTTCACTTAGTATAATTTTCATCAGGTGCTTGCATCAGTCAAAATTTTTATAAAATGTCTATTATCTCGAAAATGGCCAGGTTTAGGTACAGGGAAGTTTTAACTTTTTTGACATATTTTTAATTTATTTTATCGATGATGCAATGACATATTTAAAATATCGAACTTGGCTGCTATTTCCTGAAGTGCTACGTTGATGACATTATTTTCGTTGAACAGATCATATCTGATAACCCCGTAAACAATATTTCAGGTTCAATATTTTGGTTTCTCCGAAATGTTTAATAATTCACTTTCCGTGAGGAACCCTATACAAGGTGATTGATTAATAATTGTACATATGCTAACTGGCTAATCCGAGGATGAAAATGTGAAGAATTGGCACATAACGCTTAGATAAGATATGGCTCCTTACGAAGTTACAGGGTGTTTTATTTAAAAAATTTTAAATGATTTTTGACCATTATTTTAACCGTTTGATATTTCCCTATCATACTTGGAATTTTTATTTTGGTACAATTTTTCAATTCTTCAATACTTTTTATGCAATTAACATACTATTCCTTCATAGCCGTAAAGTAATTATTTCTTGAGATTTTTAAAGTTAAACATAGGACTGCACAATCATTTTTATTTTAATATGTAATTTATTTGTCATATTATTATTCAAGTCGGTGTCATTTGTCATGGGATTGCATTAGTTCAATTAGGTTTTGCAGTCGATTACAGTTTTATTAATAGGCAAAAATCATTTAAAATTTTTTAAATTAAACACCCTATCGTGTTAATTCTTCATATTTTCAGACCAGGATTATCCAGTTAGTGTATGTACAATTATTAATGAACTACACTGTATATGCTAGCAAAACACTTGATAGTAAATCATTCCATAAAATGTTTGCATACTTAGATATTTCTTTAATCCATGGACAGCTCCTTAACGTTATTTTAATGGGCACAAAAAATAAGATAAAACTATGAGTTTTAAAGAGAAAAAATATACAAAAGTTGCTAATTTTGAATTCTGACCCTATATAAAATGTGGATTTTTCTAACCTTAAAGTGCATAGTTCAAAATTTTGTTTTGATTTTCAATTTTAAATAAATAACATTAATAAATGTAAAAAAAATGAGAACAATAGACCATTAATTTTAACTTCTGTAACATTGAAAAAAAAGGCAATATAAAGTCGCTAGGTGTGAGCCCAAGGCTGCAAGTCCTCTAGAGGCCTCTAAAAAAAACCGTACACACTTCAAAATCTAAACACTTTTTCCTGGCTATGTCCATGCCGCATTTAATATATTTCTAAAATATACTAGATTTTATGAAAAAAAAGTACCGGTATACTATTAATTAATAAACAATACTGAATCTAGTATAATAATTATACTAGAAATACATTTGAATTTGATATTATCCATTTCTGATATTCATTTTAAAGTGCACAATACGTATTAACACATTTTCTTCCATTTTTCTCTGGTGGGAGTTAAATATCAACCCAATAATTAAGAATATTTTATTTGCCTGTATTATTTTTTTAATTATTCTAGGTGAATCTTTGCTAATGGCATTAAAAGATGTAGCTCTCTCCAGTGGATCAGCTTGTACATCAGCATCTCTAGAGCCCTCCTATGTTTTAAGAGCTATAGGAACAGATGAAGATCTGGCGCATAGTTCTATAAGATTTGGTATTGGACGATTCACAACAGTTGAAGAAGTTGATTATACAGCAAAAAAATGTATTCAACATGTTACTAGATTAAGGGAAATGAGTCCTCTTTGGGAAATGGTACAAGAAGGAATAGATTTAAAGACGATTCAGTGGTCTCAACATTAACTTGAATCCGATAAATATTTAATTTCATTAAATTGTGATTATGAAAAAAAGTAAATGAATTTGGGTATTTGCTTTAATAATTTTTGTTTTAAAAAACCTAATTATGTATTGTTTCTGTTTTCCTTCATTTATAAAAAGTATGGCAGTTGTATACATTTATACATTATAATTGTAAATAGTGTAGAATAAACTTATTTTGAGATACATAATTTGTATTTGATTCCCTTAATATGTACGAGGCATAAAGTAAGAGTACTGATGATCTGTGGTTTACTTTTGACAAAGTTGGCAACAATGCATTCAAGGCCAAGGTATTTGGAGTAGAATCTGCGCTCATTGTCTCAGTCAGTTGAGAACTGTTATTGTAATGGCGTATTGAAAAAATTAGTGTCGCTATTCCGAATCCCGCCAGCTGTGAGATGAAGAGCATAATCCGGTTTCTTTTTGTAAAAGGAAAGGCGCTGTCTCATATATGTAAAATTATACTAGTTGGTTTGGCATGTGGAAGATCAAATTGGCCGATTTACCCATTCATGTATATATAATTACTATTGTTTTAGAGAACATTAAAAGATCGCTTGTAATAGTAATATCTCACTTAATAAAAATATGTATATAACTGGGATCAGTTTTTTGAGGTAATAGTACATGTTTCCCTGAATACGAATCAGAAATTCTTTTGTTTTTTAGTTAGTTGAATTATGGTTAGTGTTTTAAACTGCACTTTAGTGTTTATACTGCCACTGGTGGTTCACGCGGAATTAGCGTGGTAAGTTGTATTAATGCACTGTCAGCCAGTTGTTACCTTTTTACATCAACTGTTAGAGAGTGACACTGGAGAATAATTTAGTAAAACAGATTGCTTTTATATGGCTTAGTGACATGCTATTTTAAAGTCACCATATTTTTCTGATATCAATGTGGACGAAGTGTGAACATTAAAACAATATTGTACCTACCTATTTAAAAATAAAACATTGTTTTGTGGGAGGGCTCTGGGACGCTCGCCTTCATTTTCATAGTAAAACGATATAAAATTTGGTTTACAATGTTATCTACATTAGCCCTATGAAACACAAAAGGAAATGTTAAATTTGTAATGTACAGTCAATTTAACGCGATTTGCAAAATTAATTTGAAAAACATTGAATACGTCTCCTCGCAGCTCACCTTTAAATCTGGAAAGGAAATCGGAAATTTTTTATTAAATGTAATTTGTTTTCTTACGTGTGGTGTGAAATTTTGTTACATACATACTGTTTCTTGTTTTTTTTCTTTTTAAAGATTGTAAGAGTTTAAATTAGATTGTAAAGACAATGCTACCTATTGAAAAATCAATGGTGCGAGAAATACCAAACATTAATTGAATAGTTTATTTCGGATAAAAGCAGAAGAATGGACGGACGTTCACTATAAAAAATAATGTTGAACATATTTTTCCTATATTTCAATAGTACAAGAAAACCGCCCAATTATATTTGTTTGTTTTTTCAATACTTTGTACCTAAATTTTTCCACCATCCCTTGTATAGAAGTCAAGATCCGCCACTGAGCAAAATTAGTTATATAAAATATACAAGCATCGTCCCAACAGGCAAGAGAATTGGTTCAGAACCGGACGGAGATTTCGCAGAACGAAATCGGTTACCGGTCCTGAGCAGGAACTAAAAGGAACTTTTCTTGAAGCATGCGCATTGAAACACAAAATCATAGTTATTATATTTATAATATATAATATATAATTAGCACAAGTGATTTAGATGATGATTTTCTGGCTTCCGAGTCGAACGAAGAAAAGGATTTCAATATTCTTAGGCATTCAATTAACTTGACAGATGACTGACCTGTGATAGTTTGTAAACTGTTCCAACACGATTTCCAGGATTGGTTCATAATCAGTACTTATCGAGCGCATGACAATAATTCATTACTGATTCTGAACCATTTCTGAATTCCTTGTTGGAATGAACCTACAGTTGTAGTTAAAATATTTCATTATATAGAGAAATTATGAAACCTGTACAAATTCCATATGATTTATTAGTAATTAATCTTCAAACTATATAAATAAATCGCAATAAACTTTGAACTTCAAGACTGCGAAATTGATTCGACTCATTCAGGATAGTTCGGTTGGTACTGCGTGGTGTAAAAGTGAACAGCCCCAAATGACACACATCTCTCGTAAGCTTTAGGGTATCAAAAATGTAAATTCCAGAATAATGGTTTAGTTCATAAAACCTAAGTACGTGGGCTGAAATAACAGATCTGTAATTGGTATTTATATTAGGCCATTACAATAAAATAGATATTCTTAGAAATAGTGCTTATTTATGTTACCTCTCAGACACGGGTGGATAACATTTAACTTGATATACCTTCTATTCAGTAAAGACCATGATCTATGCTTACATTAATGATGGGCAAGAATCTAGTACTTGGTTCTCGGATACTTAAAGTTCTGAGCGGATTTCAAATTTCGCTCTACTTTTCCTAGAAACCGTCTCTAGCCTATCTACGCAATGGCAACCCCCTGTGAAAGTAGGAAAGTAGTTGCCGATGTTCTAGGGAACTCTTCATATGAAGCAGAACACACTGAGCAGAAAACAAAATATTTAACCGAGTTTCGAAAATTTCCGTCAGAGCCCTCTACGGGGCTCCCAACCATCCCCAATTGATAAAACCGGGGCAAATGATACCGACAGAATCGGCAGTCAAATTTTTCCAACTCAGTTATAACTCGTATACCTATATACAGGGTGTTTCAGTTCGGGTGACTCAAACTTTATCCACAAATAGAACTCAATAAGTAATTCAGAATTGCCTTATAAAGCAAGGGTCTAAGTCTTACCGTTTTCACTGTACAGGGCTGTTTTGGTCGGTTTTTAAAATCATATTATTTATGAAATTTCGGGTATGGTTATAACAAATCGATTCAAATTCGGTGTGGTGTTAACATTTATGTGTAAATTTACTGTAAAATTTACAAATTTATTTAGGTCAGTGGCATAGGAATGGGTAGTAAAGTGGGATTTTTTACCTCTACTTCTACACCAATGGCTTAATAATCATTTGGGATTCATTTTTAGATTTGATGGGTTTTACCGCAAATTTCAGTTGAATGGGAGACTGCTCTTCTAACAAGAAATTTAGTGTCTTAAAGATAGGAAATAAATTTTAAATTAATATTATATAATGTCACGTATTAACTTAGAATTCAAAATAATATTAAATAATTTCACTATATCGGCGAAACGACTGGTAAATTCTAAATATAATCCCTTGTGTATTATTTATTGTATTCGTAATGTGGTGAATTCTCTCTCTGAGCTCATTTTTTTGTTGTGCTGCAGTGCGGTGAACAGCATATATTCAATGGCATTTACTCTAAAATTTCATTTGCGCCCTTCTGAAGCAATTATAAATATCCCTGCTCATTCAACATTCATTCAACAATTTACCAGTCGTTTCACCGATATAGAGACATATCATTTGTGACACACTTTTCCTCGGTTCTCTCTCTATGGGTCGGTCGGTGTTAATATTTTATTACTTTTAACTATGGTGTGTGCACCCCCTGTAACTTAATTTTTGGAAAGGTCTTTTATTCCTCGGACTGGACTCTAAACGGCAAAATTAGTTAATAATTTATATATTCAGTTAGTCTCGGGCGCCAGTTTCCCTATATTTTACGTGGGGGAAACTCCACGTAACCCTTACTCTCCGTTTAGAGTAAAGTGCACAGGTAGCTACAGTGAAGAAAATAAATTCCAGGGGCCAATTGTATTTCTTTTGGAAAAAACGGCAGAGAGTAGTTTTCTCAGTGTAGTTTTATTTTAAGTATAAAATTAAATGGGAGTCCTACAAAACGGTATCAGCGTTTTTGCTGGTTCGGAATGTTATCAGTTTACCTCGGTGTTGAAAGAAATACACCTATCAATTTTTACTGGATTTATTCACGAGGAAAATGTTAATACTTTGTACAAATCGTGTCAATCTTAATTTCTACCCACTACGAAATGACTGGAAATATTTACAAGCTAATTAAACAATAACTATATAGAATAACGGTTGTAAATTTCGGTTTTTTACAATTTTACTTATCACCTTTGAAAAGAAATATATGTTTATGAACAAAATCAAAAATGAAACATTTGTTACTCTACATAGTAGACGGTTTTAAGTAAAAAAAAGGTGATTTTAAACGGTCTGATAAAGAACTAAATATTTGTAGGTGTTTTTGTCGGTCCCCGCTGATTCTGAAAATAAACCAAAATTATACAGAATTATTTCGGAATAACTTACACTCAGGTCGGCGGTTAAATATCCGTAATGTTACGCTCAGGTCGGTGGTTAGATAATGGTAATACGGTCTAGCAAGCAAATGCAAAATTAGTAAGCGGTAAGCGGTAGCAATAACCAGTGAAGAAAGCCCAGGCGGTGCAAGGCGCAAAAATCGGGTGGCGATAGGATGGTAAAACGGGATCCGAAGTATCTCGCCTTACAATTCGTACTGTCCTCTAAGTTTTATACGTCCTGGTGGCCGATGTTGTCGGACTCTCAGTATACAACGCTTCCCGGTCTGATGGGTATACACGCCGATCAGGGAGAAACGTACGTATACTTTATGGAACGACCCGGAGATTGGGTATAGACGCCGAACTTCTAGGTATAAGTTCACATATCCCCTATTACTAAGCGTACATCCTGGTGCGGGTCACTGGGCAACGCTGTAGTAAACACGAAGGCTCCGCAAAGGTTGGGTATACACGCCGAACCCTACGGTTGCTCTGTCATGTGGATTGAGATGGACGGTGGAATTTATGTGCAGGTTACCAAGAATATTCTTCTCGGGCCCACAGTAACTCCACACTTAAAGCGTACAAATCTTTTCGGACTTGTACTCGGTCGGAACGGATAATAATAAAGGAAAATAATTCTTACTGGGTTCACTGGTTATTCCTGGTTGGCTTCGGTGGAAACTACTTGCTGGTGGTGGTCTTCTAGTCGGTAGTGAGTTCTGGCAGGTGGTCTTCTGGTTGGTAGTGAGTTCTGGCTAGGAACTGCCGGTTTCGGGGAATGTCGAGGGTTTTTGTTGTCCAAATCCCCACCGGATTAACACAAGTCATGGTGGGACCTTCACGTGACTAACGACTTGTCAGAGTGGGGTATCGGCTGGTCGGACCCGCGAGCAGA